TTTTTTTTTTTTTTTTTGAAATTTTTAGGATTGTTACAGAGACTGTTAAGGACAAGGGACACTTGCATCCAGTCGGGGACTGGATTCTCAACTGCAGCAAGGTCCTTTACGAGCACTGTCATTTTATTGACATGCTTGGTCACTGAGTTCGATTCTTTCATTCTGTAAGAATTGTATTTTTCTAACAACAATTGTACATGGGTCTCAAAAGTGGTATCATACTTTTCAGTTAAGGCACGCATCATACTTTGAGCTGTGGTGTGGTCCTCAAATATTCTAATTAAATCATCTTCCATAAAGCTTAACATAGTAATCCTAGCTACTTTATCATCTTCTAACTATTTTTCAAGTTGCCTTCTGGCTTGGCCATTGGCACTAGGCTCTAAAACTGGTGGTTCTGTTTCTATGACATAATCTACCTTATTTTGGAAAAGAATATATCCAATTTTTCTTTTTCACATAGAAAAATTGGTCCCATTGAGTTTTTCAAGTTTAGATAGTTTTGACATGGCTAGCCTAGATACGATTTTAAATTTTTAAATAATACCTAAAAGTTCAAAAATTTAATTATATTTAAGAAAAGGTTGTCTGCTAGCTAAATCAATAGGCTTGCCAACTCTCAGTGAGCTGCAACCTCAAAGAAATTTTTTTTTGAATAGTTTATGTTCGCACTGAGGGACCCAAATAATCGATTTTGATCATCCTGGGACCTGTGGGTTATGAACTTACACGCTTCTGCTAACTTCGCTTTGATACCAATATTGAAATTTTGAGGAAAGAGATGAAACCCTCTCCCAAGATTACTGGCGATGTCGGGATCACAGAGATCAGGTCTTTTCTTAGAACAATGACAACTCAAAATTGATTATGTTGTCTGCCTCTCCATGGCCATGAAAACCTTTCTTAAAGAGAGATGGTTATTTCTACCCTTTAGATAACGACATTTTCTCTCTCTCAGAAAGCTTTCTATTTTAGTGATAAATATTAAATTATAAGAGAGAAAAAAATGACATATTTTAAGGCCCAATGGCCACACACATGTACCAACCAACATTTCTCTCTCTCGTCGACCCAAACACACAATCAGGAGAGATAATACATCTAATTTTACTTCAATTACTCCATAGACAAAAAATAAGAACTGAACGATTTATTTTTCCTTTGTATGCAGATCTAGAATGTAAAGATCCCGATTTATATAATACGTTGCTAAAGATGATAAACTTTCACAGGCATATTCTCCACTAGGTTCACCAGGCTCTTGGATTAAAGGGGAGATATTAAAGGATGAAACCCTGAAAATGATTGCAGAGAAAATTAACAAGTCTCCTGCTCAAGTTGCTCTGCGATGGGGACTACAGAGTGGTCACAGTGTCCTTCCGAAGAGCACCAATGAATCAAGGATCAAAGAGAACATCGAATTGTTTGATTGGTCCATTCCAACTGATCTCTTCTCCACGTTCTCTGAGATTCCACAGGTAAGGCTCTCTCTCTCTGTTGCAGGTCACATGCATACCCCATCTGTGCCACAGTCAAGCTTGTTAAACAAATTTATAACAGTATCTTCTTTACCATTAACGAGAACTTTATAATTCACAACATACTGATAAAATCCTCTCTCTCTCTTTCACTCTCTCTCAGACAAGGTTGCTTCGCGGGGAATTTGCTGTACATGAGACATCCAGTCCTTACAAGAGTATAGAGGACGTGTGGGATGGTGAAATATGAATTACTATTTGCTCTCAAATCTTCCCATAATAAATTTGCATGAGCATTAAGTTCTCATGCACTTCATCTTCACTAAGGTCGTTTAGATACCTGGAAGTATATTATTCGTGAAATATATTACGGGTGTAATACATTACTGCGTAATACATTTCCTGTAAATGGATTGGTACTGTTTGAGTAGTATTTAGATGCAACTTGGGAAATACATTGCTTGTCTATATATTTAGAAGAAATATAGGAAATGCTTTACCAACATTTATTTATAAATTATCATTTCTTTCTTTTTTGTCACAAAATTCCACTGAAATGTGGAATTAAAGTCATCATCCTACTATTTCAAAAATATTTTCCAATTATAACATCATCACCATTCCAAAAAGATTTTCTAATAATAGCTTGTACGATTCTAAAGTCATCATGACAAAATTTACTATTTATTTTGCATGCCTTTGGCACTTACATGGAATCACATGTTCTAACATGATTAGACTTTGGTTTCAACATGATAAGTCATTGGAATAACATGATTTTATTATGATAAACCTTATTTTTATTTATTTTTTATAGAAGCCTTTAAAATGTCTCTCTATATAATTTCAAATAAACAATAAATTTATCATACCAAATTTAAAATCTTTATGGTAGTTATGGGAATAAGTGTAATTAACAAATTTGAGGAGAGGTATCTTACTTCAATTGAGCTTTTACTAATCTCTTATTAATCGCTTATAATTATAGGAAGAAGTGTGATTAGCAAATTCAAGAAGATGTATTTTATTTCAATTGACTAATCTCTTATTAATCACTTATGAAAATTATGCTCTTTTATTATGATTGTGTTGTGTAATTTCATTGATTATGATTGTGTTGTGTAATTTCTCATTGATTACCAATGATTGCTACAACCCAAATTAGGGATGCTTATCCAAATTGGGGATAAAGGGACAGTGAAAAAACTTATAAACGGAGTTTAGAAGAGAAAGTAGAAATGGATGTGAAGTTTAAAAAGAGAAAGTAAATCTTATAAGTAGAGTTTAGAGAGAAAGTAAAAATTAGATGATTGCCCCAATCCAAATTGGGGATACCCAAATTGGGTTAGATGATTGATACCATCCAAATTGGAAATAGATCGATGATTATCCAAATTCGGGATGCTTATCCAAATTGGGGATAAAGGGACAGTGCAAAAACTTATAAATGGAGTTTAGAAGAGAAAGTAGAAATGGATGTGAAGTTTAAAGAGAGAAAGTAAATATTATAAGTAGAGTTTAGAGAGAAATTGGGGATACCCAAATTGGGGATTGCTTTAGATGATTGCTACCATCCAAATTGGAGATAGATCGATGATTATCCAAATTAGGGATAAAGGGACGGTGCAAAAACTTATAAATGGAGTTTAGAAGAGAGTAGAAATGGATGTGAAGTTTAAAGAGAGAAAGTAAATCTTACAAGTAGAGTTTAGAGAGAAAGTATGCAAAAACTTATAAATGGAGTTTAGAAGATGAAGTAGAAATGGATGTGAAGTTTAAAGAGAGAAAGTAAATCTTATAAGTAGAGTTTAGAGAGAAAATAAAAATGGATGTGCACGGTTTGAAATGGATATGGAACGCAATGCGCAAACACTTATAAGTAGAGTTTTGGAGTTTAGAGAGAGAAAAAAATATATAATTTAAAGTGGAGTTTATAAAGGGTTTAGAAAGTGGAGTTTAAAGAGAAAAATAAAAATAGAATTTAAAGTAAAAATGGAAAGTTGAAATGAAACGCAATATGCGCAAACACTTAGGAGTTTAGAGAGAGAAAATAAAATACTTCACTTATAGTTTGGAGGTTAGAGAGAGAAAAATGGAATGGAGTTTGGAGTTTAGAGAGAAAATAAAATAGAATTTAAAATAGAAATGGAAAGTTGAAATGGATATGAGACGTTTAGAGAGAGTTTAGAGAGAGAAAGTAAAATGGAGAGAGAAAATAAAATACTCTACTTATAATTGGAGTTTGGAGTTTAGAGTGAGAAAATAAAATAGAATTTAAAGTAGAAATGGATATGGGACGTTTAGAGAGAGTTTAGAGAGAGAGAAAGTAAGATGGCATTTAGAGAGAGAGTTTAGAGGGAGAGAAAGTAAACTGGAATTTAGAGAGAGAAAGTAAAATGGAATTTAGAAAGAACTTAGAGAGAAAGTAGAAATGAAGAGTTTAGAGAGTGGAGTTTAGAGGGAGTTTAAAATGGAGTGGAGAGTTTAGAGAAAGTAGATAAGTGGAGAAAGAAAGTAGATAAGTGGAATTTAGATGGAGTTTAGAGAGAGTTTAGAGAGAGAGAAAGTAGATAAGTGGAGTTTAGAGAGAGTTTACTATTAAAGGATATTGGTTTCACAGTCACAAATAACAACTTTTAAGATTCATGTATCCGTTGTTACGATTTGGATCACACTCAAATTTTACGAACGTGTCCATCTCGTCAAGACAAGTGTTTGGATATGTGGTACGTCTCGTGACGATGCCCGAGCAAGGAGAAAAGCTAGAGAGAAGATGATGATTTGTGAATAAGGTTGCAGGAAAATCAACAGCAGCATGACCCACTTAAGTGACTATATCATGACGCTCGTATACTCGATCGACACAAAACCAATTGTATTGCGTACGTAAGGTGCAAGGCTATGTCTTTCCCAAACCATTATAAGTGGAGTTTGAAGAAAGTGGAAAGTTTGGAGAGAGAAAGAGTTTGGAGAAAGTGGAGTTTGAAAAAAGTTTAGAGAGAGAAAGTAAATAAGTGGTGTTTAGAGAGAGAGAAAAGTGGAATTTAGAAAGAACAATATAAATGGA